CCGGGCTGGGGATTCGAACCCGCCACCTTAGGTGTATGTGGCTGGCGCCTTAGCCGGTTGAGCTATAGGCACCAAGCCTGATCTTTATTTTTAATGTAACTATGTTCCTGAGAGGTAGACAGAAACCTCCTCTAGCTGTTGCCTGGTCTCTGGGTGTGATGAGGCATGCACTAGGCATACACATTTGTGTTGATTTCAATCTTCGGCTGTCACAAAACATTCTTCTAAAAATATCCGTGTACATGCTTCCTTGTCTAAGCTTGCACAAGATGCCATAAAATAAATTCCTAGAAATAGGATCGCTGAGCCAAAGGGTTGCTCCTTAAATGTCCTTGGACATCCATGCCCTGCAGACAAGACCAGGTGCCCATGTCTCCAACCTGGTTGCTCAAGCAGAAGCCTGGTGATTGTTCTGATCAGATCCATTTGGTCAGATGCCCAGTTCTGAGTGACCTTTATAACCAGAAGCAGCAGGCTCAGGTACACCTGAACCTGAAACCAGAGGTGGGTGGTTGGGTCCCCCAGAGGGGCTGGAGCCTTGAGCTTGTCAGCTGCAGCAGGTGCAGCTTCCAAGGATGGCTATAGCAGAACCTCCCAATTATATGCTCTTTGCATAAGGCAGGATCATTCTTCTCCCATTGAGAAGAGAGGTCTATGTTCCTTCCCTTGAACTTGGGTGAACCCTTGTGACCACAGGGTTGGTTTTGGAGGCAATACTGAGTGAGTTCTGAGGCCAAATCACAAGTGATATAGCTTCCACATGGTTCTCTGGGTTGCTTGTGCTCAGCATCCAGCCACCACACTGTGAGGAAGTCCAAGCAGCCTGTGGAGAGGAACCAAGGTCCTTAGAACCATGGCCATCCTCCCAAACCACAGCCTGTGCCCACTTGCCAGCTGCATGAATGCGCCAATGTAGGGTGGTTCCTCCAGCCCCAGCTGATGCCACATGGAGCTGTCTCCACCAAGACCTGCCCAAACTGCAAGTTCCTCAGCAAAGCAGATGATGGCCAGGAACTGGCAATTGTTTATTTGAGGGGTTTGTTATGTTTGTTATGTTTGTTATTCATATACTGGCTATGCAATCCTAAGCAAGGGGTATTTGACTCCTTCAAGTCTTAGTTTCTTTGTGTGTGACATAAAGATAATAATACCACCTAACTGGGTTCATTCATTCAAAAACTATTAATTGAGCACCTAAAGTGTGCCAAGCACTGTTCTGGCCATGTGAACACTGCCTAACTAATGAGTGGTTCAAAGCCTTCTCCACTTTTCATATCTGTGAACTGAACATAGAAATTCCTTCTTCTTCTCTTCCAGCAAAAGATCTCACATAAAGTAATAATCATTTGCCAGGTAAGTCACTGAAAAGCCAGCTATCACCTCCAGGTCACAGGGCCCTTGGGGCTGCCAGACCGGAACTTTGGGCAATCTCAGGGAAGGGCTGTCCTTCTAAGTGAAGCTCTAGCAAGGTATTTGCTAGGCAATAAAAGCTGCTATTGTTTGCAGCCCTGGAGACCTATTAATGAGTAACCCTATGTGCAGGCCCTGGTTCTAGCTCTGCAAAAATGGCTGCTTAAATGACGAGAACAAGGTGCAATTTTCCTGTTGTAGTTTTAAGTGGGTACAGAGCACCAGGCCAATCAAAGCCCTAACTACTGGATGGGATTTCCAGCAGCCCTGGGTATCCGCATGGTAGGCCTTTGCAGTGAGGTGCCGCTTGCCTAGTAGTCCATAAATATTCAGTGCCAGATGGGCTGGCTCTGGGCACACAGAGCAGAATCCAGCCATGGGCACAGGGATCCAGTGAGGCCACTGCAGAGAGAAGGCATGGGGAGACCCAGTGAGGGGGACTAGAAGGCTTCTAGGGGCACTTGGGCCAGGCTTTGGAGAAGGGCAGACTCTGAAGGTGGTATTAGGACTTCTCAGCCAGGCACTTGTCTTCTAGCCCTTCTGGGAAGTTGCTGGAAGCAATAGTGGTACTGGGTCACCTCAGGGGTCTGGGGGTGTCCAGAGTGGACCAACTGGTAATTTCCTTACTGTCAGGGTCTGGCACCAGCCTGGTACTTGCAGTTGTTAAAGAGCAGGATAGATGACTGCTTTGTGGTACTCTGGAAGGTCTGATCTACTTCCTTCATTATCCAGCTGACCTGGGGCTGAGCATGGGCAGGTGGTCCTCAAGGAACATGACTAGAAAGAGACAGCCTGTCAAGGGGAGAGGGGCTATAACAACAATAAGTAAGTACCAGGGTGTCACTGTTTACAAAACACTTTTATTCTCTTAAAGGTTGAATCCAACCCTCCTCCAGTTCATATGATGAAGTCCTAATCCCCAATACCTTAGGATTTCTTTGGAAATAGGGTGGTTGCTGATGTATCTAGGTAAGATGAAGTTATTAGAGTCGGCCCTACCCCAGCATGACGGGCGTCTTTGTAAAAAGGAGGAATTTGGAGGAAGGCATGTGGAAGTGGAAGTCCTGCAGCAGGAACAGGCTTGGAAAGACCACCTCAGAGCACTCAGATGGACCACAAGGCCTACACCTTCATTTTGGACTTCGGGCCTCCAAAGCCAAGAGTGAGTTTCTGGCGTTTGAGCCACTCAGCAGCACTCATAAGAATGCACACCTGCCTTCCTGTATTTCTCACCCGGCCCGCCGACGCCGTGGCCCGGCCCAGGGAGACACCTGGGACGGCTGTGTGTCCTTGGGCGACTGGCGGAACCTCTCTGAGTTTGTTTCCCCCATCTGCACCATCTGCCGCCAGGTTGCTGAGAGTGTCAGAGGAGACAAGACAGCGCCAACTAGTGCCTACAGTCCTTGGAGTCAGGGTCAGCGGCCGCCGGAGTCCAGCGGGGGTCGGCTGGGGCGTGTCCGGGCGGGGGGAGCGGGGCCTGCTCGGCGCTCCGCCGGTCGGCTCTGCGCTCGGCGCTCGGCCGGTCGCCCTGCGTACGCTGCGTCTGGGGCTCGCAGGCTCCGGTGCCGTCGTCATGTCGACCGCCATGAACTTTGGGACCAAGAACTTCCAGCCGCGGCCGCCGGACAAGGGCAGCTTCCCGCTAGATCACTTCGGTGAGCGGTGGAGGTCGGCGGGCAGGGTCGTTCGTCCGCAGGCTTGCGGGCTGGGGTCTGCAATGCGGGTCTGGGGTGAGTGGTCAGAGTCTGGGGCGGGGGTGTGTGGGCTCAGGATTCGGGGTCTGGGGACTTAAGCACAACGCTGTCGGCTCGTCACAGGCCTTGGGTCCCCGGCCAGGTCAGGACAGAGCCCCAAAGGTGGTGCTGGTGTTTGAGTATAGGCGGGGAAACTGAGGCTCAGAGGAACGCCTCTTCTCCTCGTCCCCCAGCCAAAGTGGACCCATTGCCCGTGATCTTCCAAGCGAAGCTCACAGGGGATGGACCCTCGCGTGACAAGGGCAGTGACACTAAATCCAAGCATTGGATTCTACATCTCTGACATCGCTGGCGATTCTTACCTGGAAAAGGAATGTGTGCTCCAGTTTTTTTGCAGAATATTGTTAAATGCTTTTTTGTTTGTTTTTGTTTTTGAGACAGTCTCACTCTGATGCCCAGGCTAGGTGCCGTGACGTCAGCTTAGCTCACAGCAGCCTAACTCCTTCGCTCAAGCGATCCTCTTGCTTCAGTCTCCCAGGTAGCAGGGACTTACAGGCACCCGCCACAAGGGCCAGCTGATTTTTCTGTTTTTAGTAGAGAGGGGATCTCGCTCTTGCGCAAGCTAGTCTCAAACTCCTGATCTTAAGTGATACTCCTACCTGGGCCTTCTCCTACTTGGCCCTACCTGGGCCTCCCTGATACTCCTACCTGAGTGCTAGGAGCCACCCCATCAGCCTGTTAAATGATTTGACAACTGACTTAAAGGATGTGTTATTAATGTCTTTTGAAAAACTGACAAATGCTAATTTCACGATGTGTATGGCCAGAATTCAGGTTTTTGAGTGAGTGAAGTGAGTCTCCATGGAAACTAAAGCTTCAAAACTAAATTTACAGGGCATGGCACATGTGGCACAGTGGTTATGGCACCAGCCACATACACAGAGAGTGGCGGGTTCAAACTTGGCCTGGACCAGCTGAACAGTGACCCCATATACCGGAGGTGGTGGGTTCAAACCCAGCCCCGGCCACAAAAAACAAAAACCCTAATGACCTAAAGTGACTTCTGGGTGGCGCCTGTGGCTCAGTGGGTAGGGCGCCGGCCCCATGGGTTAAAAACCAGCCCCAGACAAACTGCAACAAAAAAATATCCGGGCATCGTGGCAGGCGCCTGTAGTCCCAACTACTGGAGAGGCTGAGGCAAGACAATCGCCTAAGCCTAGGAGCTAGAGGTTGCTGTGAGCTGTGTGATACCGTTTAAGGCCAAGAGTTCGAAGTTGTTGTGAGCTGTGACGCCACAGCACTGTATCAAGGGCGACATAGTGAGACT